ACTCCCTCAAATCCTGAGCCGGGAGAAAACGTCCTCCCCTTCTTTTCGCCCCCAAAACTTCTCCTCTTCTCGATGCCAGATGTTTTCCTTCCCCCCTTTTTGCCACGTTGGGCCCTACGTCACAAGCGACGCCACTAGAGAGTAGGTGGGCCCTAGCGGTCAAGCGTTGTAGGGGTGAAGAGGCCAGCCCTTCGGAATAAGTAGCGCTGTGATTGGCTCCCTACCACGTCTTAGGGGTTGCAACTTAGACTTAAGAAATTTCTGTAAAGTAGCGTAAGAACCAGAAGCTAGAAGTAAGAATACTCCTGTCTCAACGTTCGAAGAGGAAACACTTCCTCTAATTGTAATTGAATTCTTGAAGTCTCCGAATAATTTTGATTAAAAGTACAAAGTTTTAAAAGTGAAATAAACCGAGTGTCGACAACGTTATTTTGAACCTTCCCGCTTCCAGCGAGCAGAGTGCTTTAGCGCTCCACGGGCAACTTACCCGCCACCTTTCTAAAAAAATACCTAAACCCGACATCCTCGTACAACAAGAGTTGTAAAAGTACAAACCACGCTCCCCCCGAATCACCATGGTGCAACAATGCGTAAATGATCTGTAGGCTCGAAATGATTATGTTGACTTTGGATAAGTTTTAGTTGGAGCCTATGAATATTTCATTAAATATGATCTGATCTAAAAATGGATTATTTGAAAGCGACATTATGAACCATTGTTTCGATTCACTAGGTTGTTCTCTTCTGAATAACTTTTAAGTCTTTTTTTGTATAGTGTGTGTGATCATCCAGTTAATCGAAGCTAACTTTTGAATAGAGATGTAAAATTACCGTAATTTCTTGAATGCGTCAGGTCAGTGGTAAAATGACCATTTCCTGACCATTTCGCTCATATTTCTATGTAAACTGACCGTAGGTTTTTCATCGTGTCAGTAATTAATTTGAAAGTCAGAAAATCATCTATATAGATGGAAAATAACGGTCATTTATACATTCGGTCATTTTTTTGGTGATTTTTTTTTGCACTTCATTTTTTATCTAGAAATTAATAGAACATATATTTCATTGAAAATTTTATTGTTATTGTGACGTTTCAGGGATCCGTAGGGGTTTTCAGATAACCCAGACCTACCAATATGAACCCTCGGGTCGCCAAGTTGACCCTTCTGCTTCGGCTTCTGCAGTGGCTAGAGGCTAAGGGGAGTCCGCTCACAATTTGGGATATTTTTAAGGGAAAAGGTCTTCTAATGATCACTCCCCTTTAACTGGCAATAGTTAATATAATATTGGAATAAATGTTTAATATCTACAAGACAACTGGAAAGGATTGGGTTCAGTGTACGCGTGATTAAAATGTTCCAAACTATAGAGGGAGGACCAACTGTCCTGCTTCGCCTCTGCCCGTGATCTGTCTTAGTTTTGGGGTAGCAAGTCGTTACTAACCCAAAAACGCAAATTAAGCATTCTCACGGTTTTGAGAGACTAAGACAGCCATGCTGCTGTCATTGACGGTCTCTAACACAGTCAAACAGTTTCTGAACGGAAACTGGACTCAGGTAACACCGTGAGACTGCTTAGGTAAGGCAGTCAGTGTTTGAAGAAAGTGAAATTCTTTCAGTTTCTATTCACTTGAAACAAAATGGAAAATATTATTTCCTCAAATAAAATAACCGACGTATAGAATGGGTCCATACGTCACATTATTCAACATGTAAATTCTACATAAAAACGAACTTTTTATCTAAACATTTTTATGTAATTTTTATATAAATTATATATTTTAAAAAAACGAAATTCTTCGAACGCAAACAATGTTTTATGATACTGTAATTAATCATTCTCGTGGGCCTGTTCATCATCATCTGAGTTATTGACACTAAAAATATTATCGGTCTGTCATCTCTATATAGGTGAAAACTGACCGTAAAATAATTTTTTTGTCACTTTCCTGACGAAAGACTTGGTCAGTTTTTTTTTAACAAATCGTTCAATAATTGACGATCGGTCAGTTACATGTAATTTACCGGTAAGTTACACGTAATCTGACCGGTCTTTTTTCCGTTACATCTCTACTTTTGAGCGCCAATGGCTCCGAAATATGCTTTGGAATTGATTGATCGCACATTGCGTGATTCAATGAATAATGATATTGCATTTAGTGGTAAAATGATGATCCTTAATGAAGATTTTCATCAGTTACTTCCAGTCAAACCTCAAGTAATTCGCAGCTAATTATCGAGTTTATCTCTAAAATTTTGTCCGTTCTGACGAGAATTTCCCATTTATATTTTGACTGAAAATATGAGAACTTTACCAGAAGAAATTGATTTTTCGCCATTTCTTTTATCGATTGGAAATAATGATGTACCCGCTCATGAAAATAATTTTATTTTTCTTTAACGATGTTTTGCTCCTAATAATGAAGATATTGTGTAAACTATTTTCGGGCATGTTGTTAAAGAAGGTAAATACGAAGAATTAACGGACTTTGGAAGATTATCTGCTCGAAATGTAGCTGTTGAGCAGATACATTCTCGCGTGATCGAACTATATTTGAATATTAAAGAATGAACTTGGTACAAATATGGACTGTGATGGAACTTGGTTACAAATTGTGGAGCTCGCAAATACTATTCTGAAATGTAAAATTCTAACGGGTGATAGGCGAGCAGGATATTGTTTTCATTACTCGAATTTCTCTATATTGTGACCATTTATCCTTTTACTTTCAAAATGAGGCAATACCGTATTAGATTATCATTTGCCATGATTAAAAATAAATATCAAGGACAGACAGGTGATAAACTTGCTGTAGATCTACAGAGAGATGTTTTCAATCACGGACAATTATATGTAGCTTTTTCGAGAGTTCGATCATGAGATCCATTGAAAGTTTGCACAAAACAACAACGAAAAAACATCAAAGTAAAAAATTATGCCTACAAAGAGTAATATGAATGAGTAAATGGTATATATATTTTTGTCTGTATAAAAGGAACCAACTTGATCGTATTTAGCATCCGAGATATTCATGGTTTTCCATCGATAACGACCGTATAGATTAACATTGAATTATTGTCTGATCTTTGATACCATCATTTTCCAACAGAAAATGTATTGATTCTCTCAATTTAAGTTTTCATGGATTTCGACGTATCTCCAATTGATTCTCGGTGGAAATTCCCATCCCTTTTCAATAAAAAAAAAATCATGAATTTTCAAAGAAGTTTTCATCATTTCCCACGAATTTCTCCTTAGTAATACTATGGAAATTTGTCTAGGTGAAATAACATATTGATTCAAATCAACTTATAATAATAACGTGATGAATCGTATCAAAACAATAATACTGATAGGCGCACGAAGCGTCTACATCCGTCACGTACTTTCTGTCGGATAGGCTCGAAGCCCTGCTGATTTCTCCTAGAATTTATAGATGTTTCCTCGAAAGCAGATTTTCGTCTTCATCCTTTGGAGAATTTGGTTTTACGACCTCTCCATAGTCAAGTAGGGGAAATATTTATATAACTCGGACTATGTTGAAAATTCATATATTGAAATTAAGAATTGATGAGTGATGATTAATTTTAATAATACGATTATAGAATATTGCTAGATTGATTTTACAATGGCACTTGGATTAAATGACCCGTCTATCTAATTTGAAGAATATTAATAAAATAATAATGGATATGCGGAAACCCCCAACCACCGACCAATTCTTAAACCTCACTCTCCAACCGATGGATGATTCTCTCAATGTATTTCTTCATTGTTGATGCCTCCACGTTCAAAATTTGGCTTATTGATAAAAAATGGTCATTAATATTCTCATCATCACCATCACTGTCGTTACCTTCTTCTGAAGTTGTAGATATGAAGGAATGTTGTGAAGTAAGTGAATCTTTTGATGCTTGACCTGAATCTTGAGAGAGAGCACTTGTATTGTACAAAGAATTTTCTTGACTAAAATCTTGACTTGTAACGTTCAACCAAGGATTGGAATTGTCTGTTGGTAATGAAGATGATGAAGGAGTTAACTGACTACAAATTTCCGTGGACGCCGATGGCTGATGCTCTCTGGCGAAATGACGATTCTCGTTAGGGATACATTTGTCTGCAATCAAAGGGATTGTCTGTAAAATTTGCGAAGATTCGTTAGAAAAATTAATATCTCCACTAGACCCGATGTTCCTTGGGCATAACATTCCTTGCTGACCTGCATTTGAAACATTCTCTTTAGACACCTCTTCATTAATGTTTAAAGTGATTATTCTGCAATTTTCACAAAGATTCATCCCGTAAGAAGAATTCACTTTTTCATGTGACAAGATGTTTCCTGAATTAGAGATGTCCCCTTGACATTGTACATTCTCTTCCTGTTTGTTTGAAAAATCAGTTCCTAATAGAAATTTATTCTCTTCCCCATCAAGTTGATGAGTTACTGGTGAAAGTGAAAATAGACCTTCTCCTGTATGAATTGAAGACTCCAATTGTATAAGTTCTCGATTTTGATCACTTGAAATGTCTTCTTTAGTTGTAAGGATTCCTGTGACATCTGGAGAAATTATTTGCTGAGATGCAACTTGCTCTTCTTCATCATCGCTTATCAAAATTTCTTGAGATTCCGGAAGTTTTTGTTCGTCTTCTGGAAATATTGGTGAAGTCGATGTGCTATTATAGTTTCGTAGATTGCCATTCTCTTTTGATTGTGGTTCTGACATCACTGGACTGTAGACTGAGCTCTGGGACGATTTGAAACTCAAATTCACCGCGATTTCATCGGTCAATGGAGCATTGATAATGTTATTCGGAATTTGGAATCCTCGATATACATTCTGCATACGAAGGTCACTGTTTATCAAATGGGTAGATTCTTGACTTCCAGGTGAAGAATATGTTTCATTATAAGAAAACCCACTGACCGCAGGGAAGACAAAAGACATCTCCTTTCTCAACGGATTCAACACTGGATTTGGGGGCTGACGGATCTCCCCCAATATATGACGTCTCTGTGCAGTATTTCTCCAATCAGTCGTGTGATTCTGAGGGAAAACAACACTTCGATTTTGCTTTTCGAAGTGATTGATGAAGAAGTTCTTATGAGTGACAATTTTCTGATCATCTAGTGAACCATCAAACTGGATTGAAGATCCTGGACTTGGTATGACATATTCTGAATGGCTTTGGTAATTTGGAGAATGGAATTGTTGATCGATAACATCATAATTATTCGTCCACTTATGCGCCAAATTCCTTCCAACTTTGAACAGTGGATTACGCCGGACAATTCGACTAGAATTTTGTGAGACATTCTTGGGCGGAATTTTCTTCCGATTTAATACTCTGGTTTCAGGCTGGGACAAAAGTGTAGGACTGAAAAATTCTTGTATCGTTGGACTCTTACATGAAAGATCCTGAAGAGCTGGAGAACAAAACTTATAACTGTTATCAGCCTCACGTGTAACACTTTTCCTCGATGGCGTTTCCACACTTTGACCCAAAAAATGTTTCCTACTGGTCTCTGAAAGCTGAGAGAAAATGATGTTCTCAGACTCTATCTTCAATTCTCTTGGAGATTTATCAACGTTTCTATTTGTACCATCACCATTATCGATTGGATTTATTTCTGAAGGGGAATCACTGAAGTAGCCCTTGTAGCCTGTGATGTTCTCCTCCACGTTCTCCCAAGCCATTTTAGGGACTTTCCTAGATGTAACGAGTTCATTGTCACTGGCAGATTTATTTGATCGTTGCGGTCCTTTGCGAAACAAACTTGGAGTGAATTCGAGAAGTTTCCTAGAGCGATGTTTTGCAGTGACTGTGGTCTTCAAGTTCTTGGGACCGAGATTACTGTTCTCATCGATGAGGGGTTCAGCAGATTTTGGTCTTTTTGGAGAATTTTGAGGACTGGAGACTGGGGTTTGTACTGTTTTCATTTCTGAAAAAATAGAAGGATAATTAATTGAGGCTCCATTAATTGATTGAGGCTTTTCTACTCTGTACTAAAGTAATGGATCGTCAGTGATAAGTGACAAGCGATAAGATATCAACAATCGACGTTTTAACAAATTCCCCAACTTGAAGAAAAAATCCATTTACATTTTATACCCCAAATCAATCAATTCCCAGCTAAGTGCATGATTCATAAAAAAACACGGTCAGAGGAAATTGAAGGTATTAACAAACTCCACACTTCTCAACTACATCTCAGTCATCACAGTAAAATGAAAACCAATAATTTAAAAATTTAAAGAGAATAGAAATGATTTTTTTTCACATTTGCCAGAATAAATTTATTGCCCTGATGAAGGACACTTCGAGAGCCCAAAATGCTAACAACTATGAATGACATTGGTTTTTATTTTCTTTCTATTTTGTAATTATTAATTTTTAATTTGCTGTTACAACCGTACATGGCTGAGAAATGTGGAATTTGTTAATATGAATGGAAACGGTTGGAATAATAGTGATGAAATTAAATATAGAAAAAGATAATCGAAATTCGGGGAAATTTAAGATTCTATAAGAGACTGAGATCAGTTAGTTCTCTATGAGTTTATTATATTATTGACTTCAATTGTGACAACCTTGGCACAATTCGTTGCATCGATTGATACATTTGTCGAGGCAACCTAAGCCCTACCTTTGAGTTGGTGTAGATTATTTCGACCGTCTCTTCTTCTCAACTGATGATGAAAATGTTTAGCTATTATTATCTCTTTTATTGGTGTTGTTATTGTTACCATGATTTTTACTTGATACATTTTGTTATTTAGATTTTTTTATGTAGGCACCAACATTGTTGCTTAGCTCCATTCTGTTGCAATCACTTATTCACTACAAACGAATATGCTGACACGTGTGATATCGCCTTGGGACATGACATTTTTTTCTTAAAAATCCTCAGAACTCTAAGACATTTCATTGCACATAACTCACTGTAGGTCTTAAAGTGATATGATATTTTTGTAACTCACATCATGTGAGTTAAAACATTACGTATCGATTCATTTAAACCCCGGGAATAAATTGATAAGTCTTTACCTCTCTGTGGAATCATATCCCGGGCACTAATTCTACAACAACACTGAGGTCAGTCGTCTCATCCAACTCTTATTAGTACATTCATCTTCCATCAGAAGCGTAAGCGTAACATGAAAGTGTTTCTGATATCCTCTCCTCAACAGGTTTATATACTCGTAGGATTGGAATTTGTGGGGTTCAATTTTTATTTAAAATTAATTTGTGGGAAAAATGAACACTTAGAGAAATGTAAAAAAATATCTGATGAAAATTTCAGCAGATATCGAGAAGAACTCTTCGAAATTTTCTTCTGAAATGGACCGTTTTCCAAATAAATTGAAAAATGACAGAAATGTCAAAATGAGTTGTATCATTATTCACAACTGTGTGAATAATGTAATGTGTGAACAATATTCAAATTTTTTCATCCAAACTCCAGAATTATTAGTTTTTACTCGTAACTTAGTATTATTACTCAGTCATTCTCAATTTGGACATGATTCACTATTTATGATTTACGATTTTTTACGATAAGTTCCTATTATAGTATTTTCCATTAATGAACATGGAAATATAAGATATTCATGCTAAAACCAAGATCATGCATCTCAACTCAGGCAGTTTGATTGAAGAAATCTGGACAACCTAATTTAATAATGACCATTTATTACCTCTAATGATAGAGTTATTCTATGAAATTTTCAATACGTATTTGGTGATTTCTTTTAATAATGAAAAAATTAAGAAATTATAGCCAATTAATAAACAATTACATGTAAAATAGTAATTACAACTCTACCAATCTCTGAATCGATTTCTTTTAATTAAATTATCACGTGAATAGAATTGGTTTGAAACTTTTGCTTCTGAATTTTTCAAGTTCTGCGTAGTGGAGACTAACACGGAGTGTAATTTCATAATTTTTCTGTACATTTGAACTGATAAAAATGAATACCTTTTTTAGCAGTTCTAATGTGCAGTGTTGGTGGAAACTTGAAACATGGAGGGACTTTCGGTTCTTTTTTCACTGTCAATAGATTCAGTTCTCTTGCAAGATCACTTGTTACCTTGTGAGCACCAGATCTGGAATATAGTAAGAAAATTGAATTGTCTGTTAGCGCAATTCCCATTGAAAGCCGAAATGAAAAAAATTACATGTTTCCGATTGTCTCGACGATTTTTTTCTAAAACGAAGTATATGAGACCAAACTCATAAAATTGTCAGAGCTGTACTCTTTATGTTCAGTGTTACCTTTAATTATATATTTAAGCGCAAAGTTGCAATGTTTTTCTGAAAATGCGCCTTATAAATGATACACGCGTGTATGAAAAAATCGTAGACATTTTTTATACGGATTGCGTATAGAAATTCTATAGGATTTCCGTATATGATATTCGGACATTTCTATACGAATTATTTCTATATATAAATTTTTACATAAATTTTTGTATTCATGCGAAGGATGTCTAAACATTCCAGAGAAACATGTAGAGAAATGTCGCAACTCCATACCAAATGTTTCTATACATGTGGCAGTGGATTGTATAGGATCAAACTTATAGAAATCGTATCGAAATAATTTGTAAAAAAATATCCGTATAGAAATATCCGAATATCATATACGAAAATCCTATAGAAATTCTATACGTAATCCGTATAGAAAATTTCTATACGATTTTTTCATACGTGGCGTCCCGAAATTTCGGAATGAAAATTCGAAAATCTAACTACTTATGATACTTTTGACGGATATTTTCATTGATAGGCCTGCTAGACACTTCAAAATAAAATGTAAAATTTTTTCAAATTTTTCTGAGGCTTGACTGCAGTGTAATTTAAACAAGCAGGGGTTCGAGCCTTTTTGGCCGAAGCCATGTGACCGTTACTTTATGTGTTATAACTCTTCTTCATTCTTTCATTTCTACCAATTCCATTGGTAGTAAGTTTTCAAATGGATCTGTAGTAATTCTATTAACGAAAGAAAAAAATGGAAACACCAAACCCGCCCAGATTAGATATCAACAATGTCAGTGGAAATAACTGCCTCCTGATGAAAAAACAGAAAAACGGAAATATCTCGAAAACTTTGTATGAACGGGTATATATGTTTTGATTGATTCGGATAAAAGGCATCGAAACGAATATTTTGAAAAAAAAAATTGAAATCGGTTGACTAGCTTCGAAGATATTAGCGAAAAACGATTTACAAACGAATACCTTTTTTTCAAAAACCATTCGATCAATCGGGCTGAACTTTTGCACAGAGTTAGTCTTTATTAAGGTCTATAATCTGACAAAATTTCAGATTTTTTGGAATGAGTTTAGCCAATTAATTACTCAATTTGCCAAAAATTGACCACCGGAAAGATGGCGATGGACATTGACACCGACAGACATGGTCGCCAAACTTCGTATTTTTACGTTTCAGACCATTCTACATCATTTCCAATCAAAATTAGGGAATGTGAAAACAGCACGATTACAATGCTTCCATTCGGAAGCGAAAATAGGAAAAAATGCGGCGCACTACTCTAGCAGAATTGATCAAAATTCTGCAACATTGAGGGCCGATTTGCTCATGTTCCTTTTTCTTCTAAAGGCCCCTTTTGCAAACGGAGCTTTAGAAAACGGTCCATTGAAATAGCCCTCCGGTGAAACGGATGATTGGGCAAACGGACCGTTTGTTAAACGGGCCTTTAGAGCAAAAGGTACATGACAAACCGGCCCCGAGCCAGACAGGATTAGATTTTGGGGGCCATCTCTCTCACTCTCTCGACGGTAAGCATGCACGCAACGTGCCAAACGACACACGGTACAAGCGAGTTGAGAATCTTAGGTTGAGTTTATGCGCAGTGAATTGATGTGTTAAAAATTGTTTTCATGCTAGAAAGATGAATAAATATTGGGACGTTTTACTTTATCATCACAGTATTGGAAAGGTCAAATAGAGATCAGAAACTCGAGGCATGTTCTTGAATTTGAGGAATTAATTCCTCTTGAAATAACAGTTTATATCATTCAAATATCAACTTTCCGTTTCAGGAATTATATTGGACATAACGAAATTTGAAATTTCGAATACTGAGGATGGTACTGACTCGGAGGATTTCGATTTTCTGTCAGATTAATTGAATAAAGAATCTATTGAATTGTATATTCTTATGTACTTTTTCCATGTCAATTTACTCGTAATAAAATTGTAAATATCCCATGTATCAGTATACATTGGGAAACAATGAAATATTCAACTGTCACATGTGATGAGCTTGAATTTTAACAAAAATGACATATGCAACTAAAAAGAACTGAATGCCAATGCTAAATTCTACACGTTGTCCAAGGTAATAGAATACTTTTGAAGCAGACGGCTCCGGCGAGCGGGAGGTTGCTAATAGAGGAACCGCCTGTACCGGCATGGGTTTTCTGTGGTTTCTCCAAAGAGGATAGACCTGAGTAGAGGCCCGGATCAGGGGGTTTAACTGGCTCCAAAAATGTTAGTTGGTACCCCACGGGAAAGGCGGCGTCCCGGTCGAATTGTCGGTAAATGTGAGTCGGGTGCGTGAGCAACTCGGCAGTAGCAGTCCCGCTGTGATAGGGACAAGTTCGGAGGGGGAATTTTGTCCTCCTTGTACTCAATGTTTACTTTATGTTTTTCAGTTGATTTATTCGCCGACTAATTAATATTAAGGGATGAAACAAAGACTGTTCAATGGAGAATTAAATTCCCCATCCATCAACCCCCGTTTCATCCCTTAATCTCTGCAATAAAAAAAT